GCGCGGGCCCAGCTCGGCGGCAACGGCAAGCGTCCGCGCGCCATGCGCGATCTGCTGCTGGCTGAGGAGAAGAAAGAAGCAGCAGGGCAGCCGATGAAATCCGCTTTTCTTTCGTCATGGATCTCAACGAGATAGGAGTTTGTATGGTCACATGTAATCAATGATACCCATCCTTGGACGGCACAGGAAGCCTCTTTTGCCTGCACTCCGTGACTTTATGGGGATGATACTCCAATCGCCTGTTTCTCCATTACTCGTACACCATACCACAGGATCACGAGTAATGCACTCAAGTCTAGTCAAGCCAGTCTGGGCGGTCAATTCTGAAGCTGGAATCTATCCATGCTGTAAACAGTGCAGGTGAGCATAGCCATGCCTCACCCTGTCCCAAACATAAAACATATCACTCATGTTGAAAGAAAAAAAGCAACCTAAAAAAGACGATAGCCACCCATTGCAAAAGATAGACACCCTGTAGTACCTTTCCGAAACCCAAATTGTTGCACCTGTGAAACCAGTATACCCGTTGTCATGAGCAGTGTTTGCCGAATCCTAATTGTCGAGAAACGAATGATATGAATGTGAAGAAGGGAAAACTGCCGGCGCTCAGTCATGATGAAAGGCCAACAGCTGAGGAACGCCGGCCTCATGCAGGAGCATGTGTGAAGAGTTCGTGTCGTGTGAAATCAGAGCCTCTCCGCCGTTGATGCCAGTAGTCTCCGGACGCCCACAATATAAAACCAAAGTAGCCATGGTATAGGAAAGAAGCCCGTCTTCACCTAATGTCCAACTGGAATGGCTTGAATTTGCCCCCTATCGTAGCACAACGGGGGCACTTCCTTCGAGCTCCCTGTTCTGCCATGAGGACGTCGACGCAAGCTTGACAGAGGCCGCAGATGCACTCGGTGCACGCGTACGACTCCTTCAGCCTTGAAACGCTCTGGCAGGCAGCGCAGTAGATCTGGGTATTCTGGGAGGAATATGTTGGGGACGAATCAGAAAGCCCCCGTGACTCAATGTGGAAATTCTCCCCGCTTTCACCACTTTCAACCGAAGGAAAGGGGTCGATGGTGTCCTGGCTGTAGGATGGCGGGGTAAGGGCTTGCTGCAGCGGGGACGCCTGATAGCTGTTCCCACCGTGGAAATTGTGTTGCTGGAATGGTGGCATGGAAGCCCGCGGGATGGAGACGGGTGATTGCGGGACCTGATAGCTCATCAGCCGATCTAGACTCGCATCAGACTGGAGTTGACGTACTGGTGTGCGGTCCTCATCGATGTCGCCTGCAGCGGAAGCAGCTTGTCGGCGGCGTCGATGAGATCCTCCCAGCGCTTTCCATATCGGCGGAAGGCTCAGCAGAAGTGCTTTGCGGTTGTTTGGCCCAGTCGGTCATCATTCTGGATACGACGAGCCAGTCGTTGCGGATCTCGCGACTTTGTTTCTGTGGTACCCCTCTCGACCCGCTTGTGACGGATGCTTCCTCGGGCGGCTTGGCCAGATGATCGTTGGATTGGAGGCAGCGTTGACGAGCGACCGGGGGGCGAGTTTGCTAGTATAGAGGGGAGTATATCGCGCGGCCTGCTGGAATTCATGGCGGGAAAAGGCTCGCTGGTGACGTCGTGAGGGGGCAAATGGATCGGGGGGAGCTCGATGGACGTTCGGGGCGGACGACGCCCTTCGGTGTCCGAGTGCCAATCCTGCAGTGACGGCGATGAGTACCGATCAAGGACGGAGGATGAAGTAAACTCACAATCTCAGACTCCCATTCGGGTTCAATCTTGTGCCCATGTAGCTGCGCCAAGGCCGCCGCTGCGCTCGCGGCTGGCAACAGCGAACCCGGCGTCCCATATTCATCGTGGTTCACATTCCGCGGGGTGCCCGGACTGCTCGAATCGTAGGCATGACGATCGTGGAGGAAGCCTTGAAAACGGTCAATCAGAGGGGAAAACCCTTGACTTGATGGGAACGCACCCGCAGGAGCTGAAGTTGCGCTGGGCTGGGGCTGCTGCTGGACACGGGTAGACGGATCGGTGCTGATCATGAGTAGAAAGCTCTCTTCGGTGGCAGGGAGCTTCTGGATGTAGTGCTCGGGATGCGCACGTCGGATGTGCTCTTGCATCGAGCGATATCTCTTTTCCTACAAAAACAGAAGTCGCTTGTCAGCATGCACTGCAATGTAGAACATTGCAGAAACGACTTTTGCATTTAGAGCACTCTGGCCCAGTTCGCAGGCCGGGTAGCGACAGTCAGGGTTCGAGCGAAGTCATGCTGCAGTGGATTGATGGGAGGCTTCGGGGTGCAGGTCGGCGGGACACTCACTCCGATACAGCGTTTCCTACAGCTAGAGCCATCTTGGTTTCTTAGAGGGCAGACAACCTCATTGTTAGAATCGGCAATTGAGAACTGCGAAGTCAGAGAAGATCTGGGCGGCATTTTGACCCCACCATGCGCTGGTGCTGGCGGCACAGGCGCTGGTATCGATACTGAGCGGGGTGACAGGGCGATAAGTCTATCGGTTGTGAGATTTGGCGAGGGGAGCTCTCAATTGAAATGGGGTCGGGCTGGACAGTGCTGTGCATATGACGGCCAGACGAAGCTGCGGCGGGATGATGGCGACTCTGGGTGAGAGAGCTGGAAGGTGATCCGAACTGCGAGGAGCTCTCCGAAGCTCCCCCGTAAACGATGCTGAGGGTGGATACGGCAAGTGTTTTCGGAGCTGTGATGTAGAGGAGGGAGGGAAGATCAGTGAAGAGAGGAGAGAGAGACTATGGTCCTGGTTTTCTGGTGCCCAGAGGAGCTACTGGCAAGTGACCGAAAGCAGTAATATGTGGTATAGGTCTTTGGTTCCTGTTCCTTTTGGGCCCGGGTGTATCAAGAATACGAGTGGTCAGGCAATGGATGTCTAGAGAGTATGGAGGTGAGTCGAGTGG